AGGAAAGCGTATATCGCAAATTACCAGTTGTTTTGTCTCCCGCTGGAAGCTCTGTGAAGCTGCTTTCTCGTTCTTCCATTTGCTGGTCTCCAACAGGAGTCCAAGATGGCGGATCCGTGCTGCGTTAGCTGATAGGGGACTTCTGCATGAACCTCTCCTCGCTCTCCATTCTCTGTCAGTTTTCTCACTCCATTTGTTGCTTGGCTGAGTTCTTTATCTCTTCATTTGATGTTTTAGGTTTTCAGGACTGTTGTTTTCTCTGATTGGCTTAGTTTTTCAGATCTTTGCTGTGGAGGGATGGTGTGGTGCTTCTGCCTAGAGTGCCATTTTGCTAGAAGTCTTATGACTCACTTTTTAAAAAAATATTTAAGTAGCAAAAGAAGAATATTAATGGAGTATTTAGTAAGACTCCAGAAAGACTTTTTTTCTTAATTTAAATTTTTATCTTGTGGAAAAATATGTGTAGCAAAACTTGCCATTTTAGTTTTTTTTTTTTTTTATTAATTTTTTTTTTTATTGTACTTCAGGTGAAGGCTTACAGAACAATTAGTTCTCATGAAACAGTAGTACACATGTTGTTTTATGACATTGGTTAACAACCCCACAAAATATCAACCCTCTAACTTCTCAACCTTTTTTTTTGGTGAAAATATACATAGCCAAAGATACACCATTTCAAAAATTTCTACGTGCACACTGCAGTGACATTGACTATGTTCCTACAATTGTGCTGTTATTCTCACTTAAGATGAAGGCTTACGGAACAAAATAGTTTCTCATTTAACAGTTACTACAAATGTTTCCCTATGACAATGGTTAACAATCACGACACATCAACAATATCCTTACTCAGTCATGGGTTCCCCATCACCAGCTTCCCTGTCCCCTTCTGCCTTCTGGCCCTTGTCACTGGCCTCCTGTACCTCGTTAGTCTCATTTGGTTTTACGGGGCTGTCCACTCCCGGGCTGAACAGTGAACCTCGGAGGTAACTTCACCACTGAGCTAAAAGGGTGTCTGGGGCCATACTCTCAGGGTTTCTCCAGTCTCCTTTAGACCAGTAAATCTGGTCTTTTTTTTTTTGTGAGTTAGAATTATGCTCTACATCCTTCTCCAGCTCTGTCCAGAGCCCTCTGTTGTGATCCTGGTCAGAGCAGTCAGTGGTGGTAGCCGGGCACCATCTAGCTGTACTGGACTCAGTCTGTTGGAGTACTTGGTAGCTGTGGGCAATTAGTCCTTCGGACTAATCTTTTCCTTGTATCCTGTTCTCTTCATTCTCCCTTGCTCCCGAAGGGATGAGACCAGTGGAGTATCTTAGATGGCCGCTCACAGGCTTTTAAGACCCCAGACACTACTCACCAAGGTAGAATGTACAGCATTGTCTTTATAAGCTGTGTCATGCCAATTTAGCTAGCTGTTCCCCAAGCATTTTAGTATTTTTAAGTGTATAATTTAGTGTCATTAATTATCATAGCCACTTTCTATTTCCAAAGTTTTTTAACTACCCCAAACAGAAACTATGTACCCTTTAATTAACTCCCCATTTCCTCCTTTCTCCTGTGACTGAATGACTTTTTGATCCTCCTGCTGAGGAGGATTTACCTTTCAGGTTATGTTGTTGTTAGGTGGAGTCGATTCTGACTCATAGTGACCCTGTGTACAACAGAATGAAACACTGGCTGGTCTTGCACCATCCTCATAATCATTGCTATGTTTGAGTCCATTGTTGCAGCCACTGTGTCTATGCATGTCATTGAGGGTGTTCCTCTTTTTTGCTGACCCTCTACCAAGTATGATGTCATTCTTCAAAGACTGGTCCCTCCTGATAATGTGTCCAAAGTACACAAGTTGAAGTCTTGCACCATCCTTGCTTTTAATGAGCATTCTGGCTATACTTCTTCCAAGACAAATTTGTTCGTTCTTCTGGCAGTCTGTGGTATATTCAGTATTCTTCACCAAAACTGTAATTCAAAGGCATCAATTCTTCAGTTTTCCTTATTGACAGTCCAGCTTTGGCATGCATATGAAGTGATTGAAAATACGATGGCTTGGGTCAGGTGCACCTTAGTCCTCAAAGTGACATTGCTATTTAGCACTTTAAAGAGATCTTTTGCAGGAGATTTGCCCAGTGCATACGTTGTTTGATTTCTTAACAGCTACTTCCATGGGCGTTGATTGTGAATCCAAGTAAGATGAAATCCTTGACAACTGCAGTCTGTTCTCTTTTGATCATGATTCAGGTTATACATGGTGTTAATTTTTTATTTGATGTGGACAATAGTTAGAAACAATGTTTGTGAAGAGATACGTGAAAAAGTAGAGGTGACAGATGATATAGAAGAGTCAGATCTGGAAAGGTGGATGAGAAAGTGGGGAAAATCAAGCAAACAATATAATTTTAATTTAACTGACAGATACACAACAACTATGTTATGCAACTATCGTGAGTTACTGAGGCATTAAAGTACTCGGAAAGCAGACATTCCTACAGCTACTGAATCTTACGAGCTCCCATTTAACTCACTTGAATGTGTCTTCAACCTCAGAGTTTTGGATTTAGTAGAAACAAGAGTCAATTTGGATGAAATGAAGCTCTATTATAGCTTGCTGCCAATATTGATTGATTGCGAGAATAGTAGCATACCTTTTCCTTTCATCTAAGGTTTAGCCAACAGTCTCTGGAAATCATCTTGAATTTGATGATTTTCTTGGACAGGGGCCCAATTTCACAGTATCCAACATGAGCATAGGCTAGAGGATAGAGCCAAACTGTGAGACAGAGTTCCTTGGCGTGTCTTAATTCCTCTGATAATAGCGCAGACCAGTAAACCAACATTGATTTTTCTCTATCCCTAGACCCTGGATTTGGAAATTCAGAATTCACTGCATGTTAATCTTCATCCTTTGGTACTCAGAAACTCTGCATTATTCAACAATGAAGAAACAACTGATCATGGTTTGACCTCCAGTCTGACTTGTTTTTGATCCTTTGTCTTCTTAAATATTTCTCCGTGCTGCTCATGTTGTTTATTTCCATGGAATTGGTTCCTAGAGTTCAAAAGACATTAAGAAGAAATGTGCTGGAACCACCATGCTCGATACAATGTTGTTAAAACCATCACTGAGGAGCATTAAAAAACCCTGTTGGCTAGAATCCCTGATAAAATATGTTGTCCAAATTGCTATGAGGAATCTCATTTTACTTATAGACAGGAGAAAACATATGCTTCCTCTGTGTAAATACCAATATGTTCTAGTAAGAAAGACAGAAATATATCTATATAACACTGAGAAAATAAGAAATTGAGTTCACTGTAGAAGTGTTATCTAATCTATCTAGTGTAATAGATATGTATATACACACATGCACATACGTGTATGCATAATACAATAGATTTCAGTTTTCATATAGTCACCATTATCACTAAGTGCAATTCTTTAATAAAATACAAATGATGATAGCAGTTTTAAATTATTATTATTAGTTTTTTGCATTTACTATATCCAGGTTCAGTGAAAAAGAGGAAGACCCTCAACAAGATGGATTGACACAGTGGCTGCAACGATGAGCTTGAGCATGACAGTGATTGTGAGCATGGCACAAGACTGGGCAGTGTTTTGTTCTGTGGTGCATAGGGTCGCTGTGAGTCAGAACCGACTTGAAAGCACCTAACGACAACAACAAATATCCAGGCAATATGTTAAATGCCTTGCATGGCTTATGTTGTTTTAAACCTCATGACATGCCTATGGTGTCAATACCATCATGATTCCCATTTTTGTAGATAAGAATAATGAATAGAAAGGCAGCTACAGGCAGTTACAGGCAGTGTTCGGGCAAGGCCTGCTGCTTTTCTGCACTGCTTGAGTTCTGAGGTGAAACTGCGACAGGACAGAGAAACTCAATAATTTTTGAATAAGGTCTGTTCTATTCCTTTTGGAACCAGGATCCAGAGACCCACTCTGGGAATTCAGGCTGCTGTCTTCAAGCCTGTCACCAGGTTGAAGAGAGAGTAGAGCACAGGCAAATAAAAAGATCACAAAGCTTTCCTACCATTTTGAAGTTGGCTTTTTCTCGATTCAGCATTTGCTTGAAACCCTTGACTCTTGCTGTAAATCACTATTTCCAGAGTTCTGAAAAAGTTGCTTCTGACAGTTTTTGTTTGTTTTTTGATGTTTTTAAAGGGAGATGGGCATGAGATTCTTACTTCTTCGTCTTGCTCCTGTTGTGCTTCCCATTGTCTTTTTAGCATGCTCATATTTTCCCCATTTTCAAAAACCAAAACCAGAATGAAACCCCCTCAATGTACCATTCTTGTCCTGCTATTTCCCTATCACAAATGAGTTTAATGTACATGCAAATAATGTACGTGTAAATAGAAAAGCTTTGTAGATATCCAAGAGGCACGTTTAATGATATTCATGTACCCACTAACATGTCCCTTCCCTCCACTAAGGGCAATCATGCTTTTGCTTTCTGGACAGAAAGTGGAGGAGGGGATGAGTAAGGAAACCCCAGTGACTGGGGCACTCCAAAAATCATCATCAAAGGAATTTTATCAGTCTTGCTTGCAATATTTCATCAGATCTACCACTCTGCAACCAATATCAAACTGCAATGAATTTTAACAAATACCAAAAAGGGTTATGTTCGTTCCTAATAACATTTTATTGAGGAAAAGGTAACATTAGCGGGAAAGTTTCTAACTTCAAGAGAGTTGCAGGGTAATTTTTTCGTCCTCTGGTCCTTCATCTTTGCTGGTGCATGATAGTGGTGAGAGGAACAAACAGTGACAAGGGAGATAAAGTCATCGCTAATGATAAGCCTTAGAAAAAAATTCAAACACAGTCTTTGAAGTTTCGTAATCATCTTGGACAGTAGAAGTTCCTGAAGAGTAGTTGTGCCCCCATACTATTGGACTGGTGTGCCTTTTTTTAAGGCATAGTGATGTACGCTTGTTGGCCATCATTTGTGAAAGGAGCTGAGGAAGGTGCTGATGTCGATGGGTTTGCATACACAGTTGGAATAATCACAACAGCCTGTAAAGAATGAATAAAAACAAGCAATATTGTTATTGCAATCCTGTTCAATCCTGCCACCCTTTGTCCCATCAGAGTCAAGAACAAAGAGTGTGCCAGGTAGCCAGCAAGCCCACCATGAGATTTTTGTTTTTGTTGGTTGCCATTGAGTCGATTCTAACCCATGGTGACCCCATGTGTGCAGAGTAGAACTGCACTCCATAGGGTTTTCAAGGCTGTGACCTTTTGGAAGCAGATCACCAGACCTTACTTCCGAGGCATCTCTGGGTGGGTTTGAACTGCCAGCATTTTGGTTAGTAGTTCAGTGGTTAACCATTTGCACTATTTATGTCTGTAACCAGCACATATTCAGGTTATTTTACAGAGAAGAGATGCAACTCACCGTGTTGGTGTAGGGGATTGCTCGAGAGGCAAAATGGGCTGAAACACAAGTTATGCAAAACTCCAGGAGGGAGAAGATCATCAACATGGCTGAAATTCCTTTCCCAGAGAGCTAAAATCAGGAATACACATGCTGAAATTTTGGCTAATCAACAGGGCCTCATACAGGCTTCAAAAAGTGACATAGTCATAAAATATGCTATTGTTCATAATCAACTCACCTCATGATTATTTACTGTATTATAATCATATGCTTATTTCAGTGAATGTGAATTTATTTTGGATTTTATTTAAAATGCTGTAAGACTTTTTTTTTGGCAAGCAAGCTATTTCATTCAGAAACATTAAAAAAGAAGTATTTTTTTTCTTTGCAATGACTTTTGTTTTTATAAAAATATTAATGCTCATTTTTAAAATAAAATCAAGCACCATGGAAAAGAACAAAACAATTGTTTACCCCAAATTCGACTTCCTAGAAATAGCCAAATTAACATTTGATGCCTATTATTTGATGCCATTATTCTAGATCTATGTGTATAGGCAAAAGACAAATGGAAGAATGGATTCAATGAATTCATGGAGAGAGGGAGAGAGAGGAAGAAAAGGAAAGAGGGTGGACGGGAGAAGGGGAGAGAGGGAAGAAGGGAGGGAGGAAGGCAGAGAAAATGAGAGTGAGCAAACAAGAGAAAGAGAAAAAAATCATTCTTTAAGACTGGTACCATCTTATTCCTCCTATTTTGAAATAAAAGCATTAAATTTATTTGAATTTCAAAGAAGAAAGACAGTCAAATGGAAGGAATTTCTGAACTTCAGATAAATACTTCGTTACAAGAAATACTAATTTTTATAAGATTCTGCTTAAATTAAAAACAATTAGGAATTCTCTGAAGAAGTTGAAGTCATTTTTAAACGTATATGTTTTAATTTTAGACAGTATTAAATGACTGTTTATTATGAAAAATGAGGTGATTGACATTCTTATTTTACATCTCTCTCATCTTACCTCTCCACCTCTCAGTTTTTGGTGATTATATATTATTTTTTTTTATTAAAACATTGTATCATTTATACTCAGTTCTGTAACTGTCACATCCCCAGTTGTCCAGTCTTAGTTAAATATTTAAATGATTTAGTACTCCCCACTGATATCTTTACACAGCTTCTCCCTGCTTTTCTGAATTCTTTGATTTAATTCAAACCAGGTATGACTGAATATTGCATTAATCTTTTATTTGCAGTGCCCATGTGTTGTTGTTTTACTGACAGAATCTTCTTTTTGTCTTTATGCCTACACGAGAATTTGATTGCCTATGTTATTTTTGAGTCACAGTTTCTTTTTGTCAAAACTTTCTAGACATTACCTCATTATCATCCCTCATAAAATGCTGCTAGGGTGAAGACTGAGGCAGGAAGATTTTTTCCAGCTTGTAGATAATTTGCCTTTTCTGCCTAAAGCATTAAATGATTCATTTTTTATACACTGTACACCTTAACAAGGGTATATATCTCTGAATTACTTTGCATTCCTTTTTTCTGATATAGGTTGTTCCATTTCAGTCTACAAATTAATTCAGTTCTTCCCTTATTTCAGAGATTTTTTTTTTTTTTTTTTTTTAGCTTTCAATCCACTATGGTGATTTATTTTGAAGACTGAATGGTTCCCAATATAGAACTCTGTAAGCCTCATGGGAGGTGGTGGGTCCTGTATGAGAGATGCGAGAAATGTGAAAACTGCTGTGTTTCCGTTTCCACAGCAAGAGATGATGAGCCTTCTGGATAATCTTGGCTGTCATCCTCATCTTCCCAGGGCTTTTCATTTGCTAGCAATGGATTCTGTGACTCATTCATAGACCTCATAGGGAAGGAGTGTCCATCACCAGGGCTGGACCCAATTGGTATTAACCAGAACTTCTTGTTATTTCCAAACACCTGCTGGATATTTTTGATGAAGCCAAAGTTGAACCCATTTTTCTCTGGGCCAGTTGTGAACACTGGAGTGCAGAAGGCCTCTGAGGTGGTTTTGTTTCTGCTGACAAGCCAACAGTGGCAACCAGGGAATCACAAGGCTGACAAAAAACATGCAGGCCACAAAGAGGAGAAAAAGGACGTGGAACTTGGAGCGAACACTGGGCAATTCCCCCATGGGCAGTGATGGCCCATCTTTAATACACACCTTCTGAGGCTGAAGCAACTCGGCTTCTTGTGTCCCTTGTCTCTTCAGCTTCTGCTTCCTATGGCCTCTCAGCCCTCAGGCCTCACGCCCGCATCTGCCCTGCTGGGGCAAGTGTTCCAAAGCTCAGTAGCTCCACCAGTATAAGTGCCCGGCGGCACCCCACGCCGCCAGAAAGCCTCGTGCACACATACACTCAGCTCTCTCGCTCTGTGGGTCAGCAAGCCTAGCTCCACCGATAAGTGCCCAGAGGCACCCCACTCCGCCAGGAAGCCTCCTGCTCACAGGCACTTAGCTCTCTCGCTCCGTGGGTCGGCTCCAGCGCTGTCTTTCACCAGTCTCCTGATTCTGCTGCTGTTGGTTCTCTGCTGCTGCTGCTTCTCTGCTGCTGTAGGTTCTTTGCTGCTGCTAATCCTCTGTCACTGCCGCAAGTCTATCCATTCACAGTTTTAAAACCGCTTCCACATTTTAGGTATCTGTTAGAGCAGCACCCCACTCTCTCGGTACCAAATTCTGTCTTAGTCATCTAGTGCTGCCGTAACAGAAATACCACAAGTGGATGGTTTTAATGAAGAGAAGTTTATTTCCTCACAGTCAAAGTAGGCTAAAAGTCCAATTTCAGGGTGTCAGCTCCAGGGGAAGGCTTTTCCTCTCTGTCAGCCTTCTCTTCAGTGTTCCCCCGGTCTAGGAGCTTCTCGGCGCAGGGACCCCTGTCCAAAGGACGCGCTCTGCTCTTGGCATTGCTTTCTTGATGGTATGAGGTCCCTCCTCAGGGACTTTTTTTTCCAGCATTTTTGAAAAATTTTCTTCTGTACCATTTGTTGCATTTTCTAACTCAGGGAAGCCAGTTATCATGTGTTGGATCAAATATGCCTATCTTCCATGCTTACCCTCCTCTCTCTAATTACTTTAGTATATTTGTCTTTTTCTTTTCTAGTGCTATGATTACTTTACACATTTCTTATCTACCATTTTTATCTGAGTCCATTCTGTTTCTTGCTGTGTGTGATGTCTTTATTAAATCTTTGATAGTGTTTATTTTTGGTACTAAATTGTTTTCCATAGCTCTACAATGTTCTTTTTATTTCATTCTGCGTTTTATGCTATTATTAAGACTTCCTATGCAATAAAATCCCCAACACGTCTGTCAGTTTGTCGTACTGTGGGGGCTTGCATGTCGCTGTGTTGCTGGACACTATGCCACTGGTATTCAAATACTAGCAGGGTCACCCATGGTAGACAAGTTTCAACTGAGCTTCCAAAGTAAGACAGACTAGGAAGAAGGACCTGGTGGTCTACTTCTGAAAAAAATTAGTGAAAACATGAATAGCGGCAGAATGTTGTCTGATATAATGCAGGAAGGTGAGCCTCTCTTGTTGGAAGACACTCAAAATATGACTGGGGAAGAGCTGCCTTCTCAAAGTAGAGTGGACTTTAATGATGTGGATGGAGTTAAGCTTTTGGCATCTTCACTTGCTGATGTGGCATGACTCAAAATGAGAAGAAACAGCTGCAAACATCCATTAATAGTCCAAATGAAGTATGAATCTAGGAAAATTGAAAATCATCCAAAATGAAATGGAACACATAAGTATCAGTATCCTAGACATTAGTGAGCTGAAATGGGCTGGTATTGGCTATTTTGAATAAGATAATCATATGGTCTACTATGCCGGCAATGACAACTTGAAGAAGAATGGGGTTGCATTCACCCTCAGAAAAAACATTTCAAGATCTATCCTGAAGTGCAATGCTGTCGGTGACAGGATAATATCCATACACCTACAAGGAAGACCAATTAGTATGACTATTATTCAAATTTCTGCACCAACCACTAAGGCCAAAGATGAAGAAATTGAAGATTTCTACCAACTTCTGCAGTCTGGAATTCATCGAACATGCAATCAGAATGCATTGATAATTACTGGTGATTGGAATGGGAAAGTTGGAAACAAAGAAGAAGGATTGGCCTTTGGTGATAGAAATCATGCTGGAGATTGCATGATCGAATTTATAAGACCAAAGATGACTTCTTTGCAAATTCCTTTTTTCAACAACATAAATGTGGACCTCACCAGATGGAATACACAGGAATCAAATCGACTGCATCTGTGGAAAGAGACCATGGAAAAGCTTGATATCATCAGTCAGAACAAGGACAGGGACCAACTGTGGAACAGACCATCAATTGCTCATATGCAGGTTCAAGTTGAAGCTGAAGAAAATTAGAATAAGTCCAGGAGAGCCAAAGTACAACCTTGAGTATATACCACCTGAATTTAGAGACCATCTCAAGAATAGATTTGACACATAGAACACTAATGACTGAAGACAAGACCAGTTGTGAAATGAGGACATCATACGTGAAGAAAGCAAGAAGTCATTAAAAAGACAGGAAAGAAAGAAAAGACTGAAATGGATGTCGGAAGAGACTCTAAAAGTTGCTCTTGAACGTAGAGTAGCTAAAGGGAACAGAAGAAATGATGAAGTAAAAGAGCTGAACAGAATATTTAAAAGGGAGGCTCGAGAAGACAAAGTGAAGTGCAAAGACGTAGAGTTAGAAAACCAAAAGGGAAGAACACATTTGGCATTTCTTAAGCTGAAACAACTGAAGAAAAAAAAATCAAGCCTTAAGTTGAATAGTGAAGGATTCTATGGGCAAAATTCTGAACAATGCAGGAAGCACCAAAAGAGGATGGAAGGAATATATAGAGTCACTGTACCAAAAAGAGTTGGTCGACGTTCATCCATTTCAGAAGGTGGTATATGATCAAGAACCAGTGGTACTGAAGGAAAAAGTCCAAGCTGCACTGAAGACGTTGCCGAAAAACAAGTCTCCAGGAACTGACGGAATACCAATTGAGATGTTTCAACAAACGGATGCAGTGCTGGAAATGCTCAGTCATCTATGCCAAGAAATTTGGAAGACAGTTACCTGGCCAACTGACTGGAAGAGATCTATATTTATCCCTACTCCAAAGAAAGTTGGTCCAACTGAATGAGGAAATTGTCAAACAATATCATTAACATCACAGGCAAGTAAAATTTTGCTGAAGATCCTTTAAAAGAGGCTGCAGCAGTACATCGACAGGGAACTGCCAGAAATTCAAGCCAGATTCAGAAGAGGACGTGGAACGAGGGATATCATTGCTGATGTCAGAAGGATCCTGGCTGAAAGCAGAGAATACCAGAAAGATGTTTACCTGTGTTTTATTGACTATGCAAAGGCATTCAACTGTGTGGATCATAACAAATTATGGATAACATTGCGAAGAATGGGAATTCCAGAACACTTAACTGTGCTCATGAGGAACCTGTACATAGACCAAGAAGCAATTGTTTGAACAGAACAAAGTGATATTGCGTGGTTTAAAATCAGGAAAGTTGTGCATCAGGGTTGTATCCTTTCACCATACTTATTCAATGTTTATGCTGAGCAAATAATCCAAGAGGCTGGACTATATGAAGAAAAGCGTGGTATCAGAGGAATTGTTCAGATACCATGTAGGTGAATTTTCCTTCATTTACATACCTGCTTATCTGGGTCAAATTTGTCTTCTTTCTTCCCAGCTAAAACTTCAGGGCTAGGTGTTGTTTTCTGTCCATTTTACTGAAGCCTGATCTTGCAGTGGTTGGTGGGGCGAGAGCGAGCTTAGCTGGTACTGAGCTCAATTCTTGTTAGTGAACATGGACTTCACTTTTTCTTTCTTCTGAGAGTCTGCTAAATGTTTTGTAGCAAGGCCTGCTCCACAGGCATAGCTGCTTGGATACCTGTGGATTTCTGTCCTGTCCTCCGTCTTAGCAAAGTGAAGTGGAAGCTGTTAACTCTGGTGGCCTTTTATGCTTCTCCTGAGGGCCTGGGGTGCCCCATAGAGGCTTCTACATTCTCAGATATGCTTTATCTTTTCTCAGGATTGGCTGCTTTCCACATTAGTCTTCTTAGCTCCAGATTGGAGGGCATTAGTGAGAATTTTCAGTATTTTTTTCGCTTCCCTTCTTTTCTCAGTTTTGTTTCTGGGAAGTAGAGCAGGGCCTAGAAGCTTTATTCTGCCACCAGAGTCAAAGTAGAATCATTTGTTTCTCTGCTTGAATGCCAATTTAAAGTTGGGTTTTGATCATTTTTTCGTCCTTTTTGTTTGGTTTGTAGAGGATAAATTTTGTGTTCTTACCTCAGTCCGTCTTATTTACCAAGAGATCGCCTCATCTATTCTTGCCTTTTTATAAGCTTTCTCTATACTGCAAACGGAATGGTCTGTTTAAAATAAAATCTGATTATACTAATTCTTTGCTTAAAACCCTTCTGTGGCTTCCTGTTGCTCTCAGAGTAAAGACCAAAGTCCTTAGCATGGCCCAAATGGCAAAGTGACACCTTCCAATACAGCCTTATTTTGCGTTCCACCACCCTTACTATCTGCATTCTTTATTCGATAGTCCTAGAGACCACATGATTGGGAATAGAGCAGGAATAGAAATAGGGATTTTCCACTAGAGTTGCTGTACAGTGATAATAGAAAAAAAGAAAAAAAAACCACTTGAGAGTAGAAGGAAAGAAGGTACCTGGTAGATTATTACAGACACTTACCAATGCGTAGTAGTCTTGTTGGGGTAGCCTATTGATGCTCATATCCACCAGCAGCAGAATCACTCCAATACAAGCAAAGATAGCACTGACAACATTCATTCCCAGGCTGCCTCTCAACTAATGGCGATAACAGGAAAATAAATCAAATATAGGATAAACAAAATTAAACGAAATAAGAATCCGCTAACTTTAATGGTTCCTAATCTTTGAAATCAGGAAAACATTTCTTTGCTGTTGAAATGATTTTTTTTGTTGTTGTTATTTTCTCTGCCCTTCAGGGTAGTTAACCATAAACATACTCAGCCTAAATGTAGGATGTTTCTTAAAAATTTGTAGCAAAATGTAAATAATCCAAAGCAGAAGCTCGTTCTATTATATTTATCTAAAAACTACACGTGCAATAACAACTTTACTCCTTTTTAAAAAATAATAAAACACCAAACTTTTAATGAGCATTCTTCTGTGACAAGCACTGGCCTAAGTTATTTAAATACATTATCTCATTTAACTCTTACAACCACCATATGAGATAGTAAAACAGCATACAATTTTATAAATAGGAAAGTACATACACGCAAAATTTTTTACTATAGATTTAGGAATTAGTGGGATCTCTAAAGTCTCTCTAGGAACCAGGTGAAGAACCCCAGCTTTAGAAGAAGGCACTCTTCAGGCTTTTGGAGGTAGGAGTGTAGGGGAAGAACACAAAACTTTGCCCAGTTTCTACATTAAGATTTCTTCATACACCAGAATAGTTGTGGAACCAAGGCCTTGGCAGGCTTGCTAGGGGTGGTACAGGTAGAGTTCTCAGAATGTGCTACTGTTTCCCCACGCTGTAGCTCCTGAGGGTCTCTAAAAGGCTCCAAGAAAAGTTGCTTTAGCTATGCTTTCAGAAGCTGTTTCCTCCAGATGGACAGCTTCTATGCTTGCCCAAGCTCAGAGGGAAGGATTCATGAGTGATGCAGAGAAAATATGTTTAATTTTGTTTTTGGGTTACAACAGGAGTAGTTAATCAGAATTAAACCAGCTGCCATCAAGCTGATTCTGACTGATGGTGACCCCGTGTATTACAGAGTAGAACTGAGATCCATAGGGTTGTCTTGGCTGTAACCTTTACAATAGCAGATCACCAGGCCTTTCTTCTGCAGTGCCGCTGAGTGGGTTTAAAGGCTAATCTTTAGGTTAATAGTCAAGCACAATCTGCTTGTGCCACCCAGGGACCTTTAGTCAAGAATAGGCTGATTTTTTTTTTTTTAATTTTATGTTTTGTTTACTTTTGTCTGGGAGAGCATGAACCACGTGATTCCATGTTCCCATTTCCACATCCTTTCCTCTTGTACTGGATTAAATAAAATCTTGAAACTACTCTGCTCTGTTGTTGTTAGTTACTGCTGAGTAAATTCCTACTCATGGCGACCCCTTGTGTTTCAGAGTAGAACTCCATAGGGTTTTCAAGGCTGTGACCTTTCAGAAGCAGATTGTCAGGCCTTTCTTCTGAGATGTCTCTGGACGGGCTTGAACCACTGACCTTTGTGTTGGTAGTCCGGTGCTTAACCATTTGTGCCACCCAAGGACTCCATCTAGTTGGCTCTAGTTGTTGGCAAATCATTTTATTTATCCTAGCTCAGAAATATACCGAGATATTACAGAAGATGGGGTGCTGTGACGAAGGGAATTGAAAGCCTTGTCTCAGTGATTATTTTATGAATTCTTCTTATGTGCCAAGCTAGGTGTTCTTAATGGTGGTTTAAATAATGGTAAAGCAAGAACTCAATCTAAATAAGAATAGGAGGCGTACACCAATAAAAACATAAAAATGCAAGGCAGAACTAAGAATGGCAATTAAATACTAGAGTCTTTGTTACTGAAGTGACAAGTTTTGGTTTCTTGGCTCCTGGATTCTTTTTCTAATACAGTGCAACCCAGCTGAACCAAGGAGCCTCTAGCTAAAGTTAAACACTCCTTGTCTTTACTCATTCCTACCTTGTGAGCTAAACAGTCAGAACATGGAGCTCTGCCATCTCTGAGGGGAAGATTGAGTGGACCATTCTCATGCCAGCACACACCACAGGAGCCACCGACAGATGTTTTGGAAAAAGTGCTCCCATTTGCACTTTCTGAATTTGCTTTCTCAATCTTCTACCCAAATAAATTAAACCCATCTTCAAATGGGTTTAATAAGTAGGAACATTCTAACTTACCAGACAAGGTGAAAACACCTTGGAAGCTGATATGGAGAGCGCGCCAGAAATGATGAACTGTAGAAATAGACAAAATTATCCGTGAAATGGTGAGATCTCTGATTGTTCTTGGGAATAGACTTCTTTTTATCTGAAAGGTTGATCTTGGTATATCCATCTAGTTTCCCTCTCAAAACTTCTTCTCAGATTTCTCAGTTTTCTGAATTAACTTTCAGGGAGTGTATCCTGGACTTCCTCTTTTTATTTTGTTTTCCCTCCTTAGTTTCTTACATATAAAGAACTCTTAGTTCTCTTGTAAGCTTTACCTACCTTCCTTACTTGGATGATTCCCAGGCTTACCGCTCAGCCTCTTCTCATGATCAATTGTTTATTTGTAATCATATTTCCAATCACCCCCTTTTGCCACACCCCCCGACACATACAATGTTTCCATGTGTAATGTAATAGGAAACTAAACCTTTGGCTTGCTAATTACTTGATCAGAGTAAACTTTAGAGTATGCATTTAAGCTGCAAGTTAAAACAGAGAACAAAGGTTCTCACTTATTTATGTGCAATCAGAGCTCTTAGTTTCTCTCAGTTCTCCCAGCTAATCAGATGCAGGGCTTACTGAGGAAGGGGTTGTGCATGGGGGGTATTTCTGTCTTTATAAACTGGGAAGGAGGGGTGTTCTAGCCATCTACTCACAGAAAGGCCGCCCCAGAATGTATATCCGCTAATAAAAGAAAGGGAGGCAAAACCCCAAACCATTGTGTAACTGCTGTTCATGACACCCAAAATAACTCCAAAGCCAATGTGCATCGCTCCAGTCACGATCTGGATGCCCTGAACAAAGAAAATACAGGCATGTTAGGATTGTGTCTTCACTTCCAGACCTTTGAAACATCATTGCTGCTTCTGCTTATTTATTGTCAGCTTTGGCAAGACCCATAGGTGTCATTTAGGCATACCTCTAAAACAAGAGATGGTCTACTGAGATTGGACATACCCTAGAGTAACTGAGGAACCAAGACCGCAGCATAAGGCCTTGTTTCAAGTATTTGAGAAGGCTTACTGGGGGTGGCCCAGGAAGAGCTCTTCAGAAAGTGCTCTCATCGTTAATCACCCTGAAGGGGCCCTGGTGGTGCCGTGATTGAGCTCTTGGCTGCTAACTGAAAGGTCAGTGGTTTGAACCCATCAGCCGCTGCAAGGGGAGAAAGATGTCGCGGTCTGCTTCTGTCAAGATTACAGCCTTGGAAACCCCATGGGGCAGTTCTACTCTGGCCTGTAGGGTCACTATGAGTTGGAATCGACTCGACCATAATGGGTAGCATTCCTGAGGAGTCCCTTAACAAACAGTTAAGCATTAGACACTAACTGAAAAGCTGGCAGTTCAAACTCATCCAGAGGTCACTGGGAAGAAAGGCCTGGCAATCTGCTTCTGAAAAGTCACACCCTTGGAAACCCTATGGAGCGCATTTCTACTCTACAAGCATAGGGTTGCCATGAGCTGGAATCAACTTGATGGCAGTGTGTTTTTTTTTTTTTTTCTTTTAGGTTAGCATCCCCTGAGAGAAGGCAGTGGTGGTTCAGTGGTAGAATTCTCACCTTCCATGCTGGGAGACCTGAGTTTGATTCCCAGTCAATGTACCTCATGAGCAGCCACCACCCATCTGTCACTGGAGGCTTCATACTTGGCTGTGATACTTTAGCTATGACTTCAGTGACTTCAGTGGTTCTTTTCCAAATGAACCAAATCTCTGCTGGGTAATCCCAGTTAGGGGGAGAGGATCAATGAAGATAAAAACTTTTAATGGGCTTTAACTATATGACTGGCACTGTTCTAAACACTTTCCACGTATTGTTTTATGTACTCCTCCCAACAACTGGGTGGGTATACAGAAGCATAGAGAAGTGTCCAGGGTCACACAGTCACTAAGGGACAGACCTGGGAATTTAATGCAAAAAACCAATTCTTCACAATTCAGTACTGCCTCCTCTCAAGCTCAGCTCATCCCCATCTCTTTCGTAAAGTCTTCTTAATTGCACAAGTACAATTAAACTATCTTTTTTTTTTCTGTCTTTCTGAATTTCTGTTGCATCTTATGATACAAATCACACACGTTATTACTTGGTTTTGTACTCATTATATTGTTCTTTTATTATCACAGGTATACAAACATTTTCTTATCATCTAAGAGATATATCCCCAGAGACAGGGGACACATCTGCGTCTTTCTACTTCTTGTTGAGCCTTCCTTAGTCCTGGATAAACAGATTTGTGGCAGATAACTGTTGCTAGATTGGACCAAAAGTCAATTGTAGATTTATAATCTGTTTCTTCTCCAGTTTACATCTTGTCTCTCCAGGGAAATTGCAACCTTGTTAGTGGTGACTGCTATGTTTATTTCTTCAAAAAATAGCTACTGAACATAATTGAATTAAAATTAGATAATGCCAAGAGATTAATACTGGTCTTTTTTTTTTTTTTTTTGAATAATGAAGTTCTTTGAGACTCTGTTAAAAAGCTATGAACCATCTCCTCTGGAAAAAATGTTCTTGCACGTGCGCATGCACACACACACACCACTTTTGCATATAACTTCATAGGGCTCATGGGCCTCTTCTGTCCAACCCATGGATCTCAACTTTCACAAGCTCTTCGCTAGAGCACCAATTCGATCATTGGCTACAAAATTTCCCTCCCCATCTTTACCATCATTTGGATTAATAATGGCATTCTTTGCTCCTACTATAGCCCTGGCTATACTATTTACTGTTCGTGGGTGATTAACGTGCTTAGCTGCTAACTGAAAGGTTGGAGGTGCAAGTCCACTCAGAGGCTTCTCGGAAGAAAGGCCCGGTGATCTACTTCCAAAAAATCAGTGATTAAAAACCCTGTGGAGCACAGTTCTACTCTGACATACATCGAGTCGCCACGAGTTGGAATTAACATGATGGCAACTGGTACTGATACACCATTTACTGATCAAAACTGCTCATAGGCCAAAACAACAAACAAAACAAAACACCACCCCCCCCGCCAAAACTTAAAGCAGTTGCCCTCAAGGTGATTCTGACTCATGAAACAAACAGTTAAGCACTTGCCTGCTAACTGAAAGATTGGTGGTTCAAACCCACCCAGAGGTGCCTAGGAAGAAAGGCCTGACGGTATGCTTTCAAAAGGTCATAGTCTTGAAAACCCTATGGAGCACAGTTCTACTTTGCAACACATGGGGTCGCCATGAGCTCATAGGCCAGATTTAGTCATTTGGTTATGTAGTCTGCTCTGTACTTTTGGCCAGAGAACCATTTTAAGTTCCAAGTCGTTTTGTGCAGATGCATCATGCCCTACCACCTGAGCATCCCTGCGCTGTTGTGGTGACTGGGGAGAGAGTGGCTGCTAATGGCAGAGATGCACAGTCTACAGGGAGAGGAAGTAGTTTCTGCTAACTGGAGTTTAAAAAAAACACACTGCATTTATTCCTTTAAAATAATTTTATTGCTTGCTTCTTGGTACCAGGGAAGATGCATTGATGGCTCCCCATTCTGCTAAGAGTGAAAGCCAGAGCCTTGTTTCCTCCAGGCTTCCTGGGTCTAGCCCGCATCGCCCTTCTGCCCTCTTTCTGGTCTAATCCCTTCCTCGCACATTCTGTTCTGCTTTATTGGCCTCCTCCCTGTTCTTCAAACACATTACACGCACTGGCATCAGAAGACCTTTACACTGGCTGGTCATTCTGCCTGGAAACCCTTCCCTGATATCTGTGTAACGTACTCTTCACTTCCATCATGTTTTGCTCAAACGTCATCTTCTAAGGAAGATGGCCTACTGTGACCAACTTTAAACTACTATGTCCTCACTGTTTGGAACTTCTTGCCTTTTACACATTTCCTGCAACAGTTTTTTTTTTTTTTTTAACAACAGCTGTTAACCAAAAGGTCAGCAGTTGGAACCCACCAGCCATGCCGTGGGAAAAATGGGAGAAAGATGTGGCAGTCTGCTTCCGTAAGGATTAACCCATTGCTGTTGAGTCAGTTCTGACTCATAGTGACCCTATAGGACAGAGTAGAACTGCCCCATAGTGCTTCCAAGGAGTAGCTGGTGGATTCGAACTGCCGACCCTTTGGTTAGCAGCTGAGCTCTTAATCACTGTGCCACCAGGGATCCCTATAAAGATTATACCCTTGGAAACCCTATGGGGCAGTTCTACACTATCCTATAGGGTCACTATGAGTTGGAATCAACTTGACAACAAGGCTTTCTTTTTTTTTTTTTTGGTTTTAGCACACTCTGCCATGTCCTTGTTCATTATCTTTATAGTCTGATCCCCGCACTAGGCTGTAGGCTCCTTGAGGACAGAGATTGTGTCTGATTTAGTCTCTGAAATATTCCTCAACGCCTGTGTGGGGTCGGCTGTGGCTGGTGGATTCGAACTACCGACCTTTTGGTTAGCAGCCGAGCTCTTAACCACTATGCCACCAGGGCTCCATATGGGGTCCTAGTTTGTCTCATTTGCTCAACAGGAACACAGGATTCTGCCTGCTTTTCTCTATCTGATAGGAGGAGGATCCATCTGAAGGTCTCTTTTACTCCTGTGACTGAGGGGCTGCTTCCTTGTCCAAAGCTTAAATCTGGCTGCTCGTTGTTGCTTTCTTAAAACTATTAACACTTGAGCTAGATAGTAAGATCGCCAGAAGAGTGTCTGGCACATAAGGGACACGCAATATAATTTCCTGAATGGTCTAGCTGAGGGGTTAGACCTGCACACAGGAAGAGACTTAGTGCAATTTGGTGCAGTGGTGGTAGTGGTATGGACGAGGTACCTGCACAGCAAAGGGACTAACAGTTTTCCCTAGGCTGGTGGAGTCTTTGCCTGTAAGTAGGGCATGTTTCACAACACCTGCAGAGACAAGACGATGGTTGTTCAAAGTGTCCCTTGCAGAAGTGAGGTGGTAGTTGTTGTTGGATGCCATCCAGTCGATTTCACCTCATAGTGACCTCATGTGACAGAGTAGAACTGCCCCATAGGGTTTTCTAGGCTGTAATCTTTATAGGAGCAGATCACCAAGTCTTTCTCCAGCAGAGCCATTAGGTGGGTTTGAACCACCAACCTTTCAGTTAGCAGTCCAGTGCTTAACCATTGTGCTACCAGGCCACCAGGGTGGTAGTTAAGTTATAAAATCTCCAAAGGCACTGAAGATGGAATGGCCCTTGATTTTTTTCGCACCCAATCTTCCCGGCAGGGAAAGGCCCACTTATAGCTCCTTGCCCTTTTAAGGCAACCGTCAATATTCATTTTAACGTGACTTCACTTACATACGAGCACCAGGCTTGTAATCAATCCAGAGATAGAATTGAGGATGCCCACAATGTCCTTTGCTGAGGTGAGATCAAATTAGACATAGTGGTGCTCCCAGCATCAATATTATGGTATCGTCCTGCTAGGAGGGGTCCTTTGACACCTGTTAGGTTCTTGCCCGAATCTAAAATAAAATGAACTCACTGTAGAGTATATATGCAAAGTAATCATTTCTACCTGAGCTTTTTAATGATTGGACAGTATGTCATGATGATCATAAACTTTCTCCACCTGTATCTTGTAGATACAATAAAACCCTGCAAATGCAAAAGTAAAATTCCAGTTGTAAGTAGACTTACCCCTAGTATCTTTGCTGCTTCTTTTAAGTTTATCACCTCTGTAGATGGATTTAACATTTGTATATTTGCTTGGCTCTGCTGAAGGTTAGTGTAGATTCCTGGAGAAGTGAAGAAAGGAGGCTGACTGCCCTGAACTTGGTTTACTGGGTTTGTTACACCCGGAGGTTGTTGAGACCAAGGAGCCATAGTATTTCTTGGTGGATAAGGACTGGGTATGGTTTCATTCATTCTAGGTTGTGTTGTTGGCTTGGATGATATGACTGTGTCCTAGATTCTGCAAAACATACCAAAATGATACATTTATCAGAAAAGACACTGAAGAAATTCTTGGTATATTTCAAGCAGCTACAGCTGCTAACCAAAAGGTCAGCAGTTCGAATCCACCAGCCGCTCCTTGGAAAACCGTATGGGGCAGTTCTACTCTGTCCTATAGGATTGCTACAAGTTGGAATTGACTCGACAGCAACAGGTATTGAGCTGTATATATATAACTCAAGTTCATTACATCTGAAGAATATTGGAAAGAGGGAAGGGACTGTCAGAATAATGTCCTCCAAAGATGTCCATGTTTTAATATGTTAGATGGTATGGCAGAGGGGAATTTAGATTGCAGACTGAATTAGGGTTGCTAATAAGCTAACTTTAAAATAGGGAGATTATTCTGGATTATTTTGGTTGGGCCCTGTATAATCACAAGCATCCTTAAAAGTGAATGAGGAAGACATAAGAAGAGAGTCAGAGAAAGAGAGGTGATGATAGAAGCAGGGTCAGAAAGATACTATGTTGCTGGCTTTGGAGATGGAGGAAGGGGCCATGAGCCAAGGAATGTGGACTCTAGAAGCTGAAAAAGCAAGAAAATGGATTTCTCCCTAGAGTCTCTAAAAAGGAACGCAGCTCTGCCAACAGCCAGATCTTAGCTCAGTGAGACTCTTGTTGGGCTTCTGACCTGCAGAACTTTTAGCTAATAAATTTGTGTTGTATGAAGGCACTGCATTCATGGTAACCTATTACAGCAACAAGCAGAGAACTAATACAGGGGCCAGGAATACAAGTGAATGGCAAAGAAGGCAGCCCAAGATTTGAAATTTTTTATCAGTTATCGGAAAAGTAGATAATTCACATATGGTCAGTTAAGTTGATTCTTTTGTTCTTTGAGAGGAATACACTTGAGATTCCCCAGTTCATTTTTGTCCTTCTGGAAGCTTAAAGCATCTTAGGCCCCATGTGGTCAAAATAAATTTTTGTTGGAAATAAATGAGCACAATTGGATATAGGCAGCAATCACTACTGATTCTTGAAAAAATCATGACACTTAAAAATGTTGTCTTCAGCATCATCAGATTTTTTTTTTTTTTTTTTTTTTTGCGCACTTCTCTCCAAACCATTTTCTTATGCTTCATGGATATCAAGAAAGTAGGAGTTATGAACCCCTTCACCTTAGATGGCGCAGTGGTTAAGAGCTACAGCTGCTAACCAAAAGGTTGGCAGTTTGAATCCACCAGGTGCTCCATGGAAACCCTATGGGGGCAGTTCTACTCTGTCCTACAGGGTAGTTAAGAGTAGGAATCGACTCGATGGCAACGGGTTCGGTTTCTGGGTTCTTTTTTTCACCCTAGTTGTGAAGTATGAATAGCATACTGGTGCGTTGCACAACTGGCATTTTAACAGGGACGCTTATTTTGGGCCAGGGATATTTACCTTGTTGATGCTATCAGACTGTGTACTCATGGTGTTGTTGTTAGGTGCTATCAAGTTGATTCTGACTCATAGCAATCCCATGTGACAGAGTAGAACTATAATTGGGCTTCCTAGGCTGTAATCATTGTGGAAGCAGATGGCTAGGTCTTTCTCCTGTGGAGATGGAGCCAATGGGTGGGTTTGAACCACCAACCTTTCAGTTAACAGCCAAGCGCTTAACCACTGCACCACCAGGGCTCCTCGTATAGTCATAGACTCATGAAATTTAAGAGCTGGAAAGAGCCCTTTCAATCTTTCTATCTTGTTTCCCCGTAGTTTACAGAGACACTGATGCTCAGATAGGTTAAAGGACTTGCTCAAGGTTACATAACAAATGTGTAACAAAGTCAGGACTAGAACTTCAGGCTCTTGACTGCTGGTCCAGAGCTCCCCATTCCAGCCATACTGCTTCCCTCTGGACTCTTGCAGAACTTGTCTTCCAGGCCAGCCGTTGTGAAAGGCTACTGACTAGGCACCTACAACTACCCAACAACAAAGCTGCAGCCTTGCGACGCTGTGGAGAGAACTTCATAAACCAGGCTGATCTCTTAGTGATTTAATAACTTAAATTTGAAAGGTCTCTCCTCAACTAGCCTCCAGTGAACTATCTAGAGAGTTAACATTTATTTAACACTTACTGTATGCACAGTAGGGGCCATATAGTGTTGTGGTTAGGAGTATGCACTTGGGGTTGGAATCCTGGCTCTTTGGAAAGTTTCTTAACCTCTCTTTGCCTTAGTTTCTTGTTTGTAAAATGGGAACAGTAATAAAATGGAGTATCTTCCGTACAGAATCCCTTTGAGTATTAAAGAGTTATGTTATGTAAAGTTCTTAGAACTGTGTCTGCTACATAGTAAACACTACTCGGGTTGGCTAGTAATATTATTGCTGTGTTAAATGCATGAGATTCATTATCTCTCTTAGTCTTTACAAAACCTCATGAGGTAGGTACTATTATTATCCCCATTTCACAGATGAAAGAATTGAATCTAGAACCTACACTCGTAACCACTTCTCTAAGCTGCCCAGATGCTAGATACAACTGAAAAAGGTTGCAAACTCAACAGAATGGGGGAGAGTACACATCTCTGAAACCTCTGATTTCAAAGAGGTGACTTTTTCAAAAATGGAAACAAAATTTAATCCAAAAAATGTTATTTTAAACAAGGAAAAATCAACAGTTCCGTAGCTCTGACGCCTGCAACGTTTGAGTACAGGAGGTTTTGCATCCCATGGAACTGATTTATGTGGCCATATGTGCTGAAGCTCTGTTTTCTAATCCCCATTCTGCTACTTCACTAACTCTGGGGCCCTGAGCAAGTCACTGACCTTCTCTTAATCCCTGTTAGTCCCTGTGTCTCAACTGTAAAATGAGACTAATGATGCCACTCTAAAGGGCTGGTATGACGATCAAATGATCATAATTCCTATCAAGCCTTTGAAAAGTGCCTGGCATATGGCAAGACCATAATAAAAGATAGCTATTATTTTGATATATAGTCTTCTCTCCCACTGTAAATACAGATGTAGCCAAGTGAAAAGTTTATAACAGGGACTGAGCTTTGAAAGGCCAATGCAAAGATCAAACAGAAAAGAGAGGGGAGCTGGAGATGCAGGAATTAGTCAGAACAAGAATTTTCTTAAGTTTTTAAAAAAGTGCACAATTAAATGATTGTCTCCTGCTTCTGCACACGTGTGACCTCATTACTTCCTTCCTTTACTGGGTTTGCAATTTTTGTCTCATGGAGAAATTTGATAAGAAAAACTTAAGACTTTTCATTTATTTATCAACAGTTTTTGATTTCGTATCTACTCTTTAGTTTCTGGGCTGACATCTCTGAGCTTCATGTAGAACACAGATTATTAACACGTCTATGAAGATTATGGCTAATCTCAGGAATACAATTTTACCGGTATAAATTCTAGTGTAAAAAAAGTAGATTATAAGAGCAGAGCCAGTCCTGATCGTTTTAATTTATACCAAAATGAATTAATGTCTGAACAGCTTTGCTAGTTACGTAGTTTGGCACGAAGAGGGAAAAATATTCAGGGAAATAGCTAAGTGATTATCCAACTGAAATGAGGATAATTCCAGAAATGATGCCAGATAAGGGAACCCAATGAATAGACTCTCTTCATAGATACCACTTACTGATTTAGTACAATCTTTCTCTCGACCATTGGTAAGATATTTACTATCAGTTGTCTTTTCTCTAAAAATTAGAGCAACTACAATTATTTTTAAGCACAAAGGACCGATCAAAAAACAGGTCTGGTGAGAGCAAAAGGACACGACCATGGAAATAAGACAAGAGCTCACCAATTTGCTATTTGATGAGATAATTTCAAGTAAAAATGGGCAAAATTTATTTTTTTCTAGTTTCTTTCTACCTTCCGTCTACATTAATCTCACTTTTAACACTATAGAGTGAAGATGACCACTATCTTTGAGAATATATTGTAGCACATAACCTTTTCCAGAGTATCACCCAGTAAATACACAGGAATACAGGTTTGTGTTGTGTGCTGTCGAGTCGAGTTTTGACTCAGAGTGACCCTACAGGACAGAGTAGGACTGCCCTGTAGGGTTGCCAAGGCTGTAAATCTTTACAAAAGCAGACTGCCACACCTTTCTGTCACAGAGTGGCTGGTGGATTTGAACTGTCAGCCTTTTGGTTAGCAGTAGTAGCTCTTAACCACTGTGCCACTGGGGCTCCTTAAATAAACCGTATTACAAAACCGAGTGCTGCAGTATTTCTACCATGCTATGATAAATATGTGATAGCCACATTATCATCAGATGCTGCCAGTGGGGCATTGCTGATTGATATTCATGGAATGACATACATTTGAACCTACTGTATCACCTTTCTTAACATTAGCTTTTGATATATTTCTTTGCAGTGCCGTTTGCTTATTTTTATAGCTGAGTAACTTTCCTTTCTCGTCTATATGTCACTTCTCTTCCGTTTCATTCCTCTCCTGGTTTTGTCTTCCCTCATTTATCTACTGATCTCAACATACAGTCAAGCATTGTCTTATCTCTCTCCATCCTAGAGAACAGAGTGCCGCAGAGAACTCACACAGGTAGACCAGTCCCACTGTTAACGCACATTGATTTGGGTGAAGAGATAGGTAGAGATGTTTAAATGGACTTACTCTGTTCCTTGGACACCTCTGTGTTTTCTCTCTTTCTCTGCTCCAAACTCTGTGCTGATCTCAGGTCTTTACCTGGGTTTTATGGGTGTATTTTACTTCCTCGTTTCAAACCAATGTGTCTTCTATATTCGTATGATTCCAAAGTCCTTTTATTGTTAGCATTCTTTAACCTAATGTGCATACATAGGCCCATTTGTACATCTCAGGATATGCTGTGCTTTCATATCTTTCTCTTCTTTGTACTAGGGCGCATTTTTTGCCATCCCCAAAGACATAAGGTCTTGGTCTCTTCAGCCCCTTTTTGCCTTGAGATACTTGTCAGTGCAACCTCATGTTGCATTTTAATACTTTTTAATTATACAGACAAAACTGAAAAATACATATAATAAAAAATGAAGGAGAGAAAGACTCATCCAAATCCTACCACACAGACATAATTAATGATAATATTTTCATTTATGATTTTTAAGCTTTTACATGTAAATACATATTTTACATAGAAACATGTAACTTTGTAAAATCATCAAGTTAAGATTATATCGTATATAGACTTTTTAACTTGCTTTATAGCTAAATGTATTATAGACACCTTTTCTTCTTGATAAACATATTTATTATAATTCTTGTAGGAGCCCTGGTGGCGCAGTGGTTAAGCGCTTGGCTGTGAACCAAAAGGTTGACAGTTCAAACCCACCCAGTGGCTTCGCCGGAGAAAGGCCTGGTCATCTTCTCCCGTAAAGATTACAGCCTAGAAAACCCAGTTCTACTCTGTCACACGGGGTTGCTATGAGTTAAAAAGTGACTGAACAGAATGTTGTTGTCTTAGTCTGTGGAGTTGATTCTGATTCATGGCGACCCCATATGTTACAGAGTAGAACTGCTCCATAAGGTTTTCTTGACTGTAATCTTTACAGAAGCAGATCACTAGGCCTTTCTCCTGCCGTGCCACTGTGTGGGTTCCAAGTGCCAACCTTTCAGTTACCAGCTGAGTGCAAACTGTTTGCACCACCCAGTGACCTAGATAATTCTTAATAGTTGAATGCTGTTCCATTTGTTGGTCGTTCCAATTATCTACTTTCAGCTCTGTCTCACAGCACAAATAAGCACTTTGAGGACAGAGATCCTTTGAGCAGGGGCTCCCGTCTGCCCCTATCCTCAACCCCATGTATGGCACAGTGTCTCACACATGGTAAGATTCATTAAATGTATCCTGAATGAATTAGTGGAGTGAGTACACATTCCTCTTCCATTGCTTTTCTTTTTCTGTTGTGTATTATAGAAGATTTTCTTTTCCTTGTGGTTTAAAATTTTTATGTGTTCTTCTGAAATGGAAAAGGAAAGATGCTGAAGATTTATTAATGGTGTGAGCCTAAGAAAGTGAAAATTTCAGGCAATAAAATTGCTCAAAGACTGAAGGTAATTCAGGATACAAGAAATTGACATCTTTTTAGAAAGACCACAGAATCATGGTGATTGTCTGACCAGGTATCATACTGTCCGTCTGATTCATGTCATCCAGACAGCAGGAAGAGAAAATTGAAAATGAATCGTATTCTTTAACCTAGAATGTTCTGCCTTCTCCTGGTGGCCTTGCAGACCCACCTCCACTCAGTAAATATTACTTAATAAGACTTCTACACTTTTCTTTCTCCTTCCTAGTTTCGTAAGCATGTGGTTGGTGCCATTAATGAAGTGATTCTTCCATGTACCTTTCTAATTATTTCTTCAACCACCCTCTAACTTCCAGGAAGGCAGGAGATATAGCATCATTACATAATAGCCTCTGTGTCGCTAGCTTAGGAATATGCCAGTGAGTTGAGCATTAAAGAAAG